TCTGGCTTAGGTCTGGCTGCTGTGCTCAGCTCCTTCCCGCTGCGGATCTGGACTAGGACTGGGTCTGGGCGTTCCCGGACCTCGGCAGAAATTCCTACTCGGCGGGAGGGGTGGGGCAGGTAAGGTGGAGTGTTGGGGGCAGCCCGAGGGGGTGGGAGAGGGTCTGGCCCACGCTGCGCCTGGGCTGGGACTGGTCCCGCAGGCGCAGGGTAGCTGGAAGCTCTCCACACACTCACTGGACCTGGGCTAGGACTGGGTCTTGGGTTGACTTTTAAAACATTTAATTTATATTACTACATGTTTGTAGTACACAGTGATTACATTAATCATGGGGATTGTGACTTGTGCACAATAGAGTTTAATTCTTTTTGAATCCCATTGTGTTCTCCTCCCTCCTACACTTTCTAGCTCTTAGTACCCTTCCTATGGGTTACTTTCATCTCTATTTGAATTTTATATAAAGAAAATGGAAATTAAACATGCTGCTGTGTCTAGTGCCTTCCACTTAACATTGTGTTTGTGAACTCCATCTGGATTATCAATTATAGCTGTTGTGTTCCGACTTTCATTGTTGACAACATTCTATTGTGTGGGTATTTCACTACTTATTACATGGATTTATGATCACTTTACCAAAAGAGCTTATATGAATTTTTTTTCCTTTTTCTTTTTGGCGAGCTGCTATACAATTTTGTTGAGGAACTTATGCTGGCAAAGTTCCTGAGCATGCTTATGTTTGGATTCAATACATATCACTGGCCTTCTAATCCTGTGCATTCGACATTCACAGATACACACAGCTCTGGATTGAAAAACTTTTGCTTGTATTGAATATATGCATACTATTTTTGACACTATTCTCTAAATAATACAGTAGCACATTCTATGTAAATTTCCGTTGTATTAGATAAAAGCAATCTAGAGATGATTTAATGCATACAGGAGGATAAACACAGGTTATGTGCAAACATTATTAAGGATTTGAGGGTCCAATTGAGCCCTGAGATCCACTCCACATAGACACCAACAAGCAAGGACTGAGGATCCTGTTGACTGCATTTAATTGTGATTGTGTATTTAAGAATTGCAATGTTTTAAAGACTGGTTTACATACTGACTAATAGCAACCTTGGTATGGGTTTGCTTCGCAGTTCCGAGAGAAATATGGAGATGTATTCACCGTGTACCTCGGATCAAGGCCTGTAGTCATGCTGTGTGGGGCAGAGACCATACGGGAAGCCCTTGTGGATCAAGCTGGGGCGTTCTCAGGCCGAGGGCCAATTGCTGCTGTGGAGTCTCTATTTCAAGGATATGGTGAGGACCTTAAAGTCTTAATAAGGAGCAGGCCATAGATGGGACTTGGGCAAGTGGAATGTGATAAAGGAAGAAAGAAACGGGGAGGGATCCCTCCTGTTGAACTTCCCCTGTAACCTAAGCATCTCCTACAACCATTAGGGTTGGCCTTTGCCAATGGGGAACGCTGGAAGGCACTTCGAAGATTCTCTTTGGCCACCATGAGGGACTTCGGGATGGGAAAGCGGAGTGTGGAGGAGCGGATTCAGGAGGAGGCTAAATTTATGGTGGCAGAACTGCGGAAATCCCAGGGTGAGTCTTCAAGGTGGGGTTGGATAGGAAAGGAAGCTAAAAATACAGAGGGAAGGGCCAGGTGCACAACAATAAAATCACAGGGACATGCATGGAAGAAAAGTGTTAGAAATACAGACAGACAGTGATAGAATGAGAAAGTGATGGAATAGACATGAAGAGAGATAATCAGCAGAACAGGACAGCCAGACAAGGAACTGTGATGTTTACAGTGTGCAAGAATATCTTTGAGTAATAGGTTTAGTGAGTGTCTTCTCTTAATTTGTGTCCAGGGAAATCATTTTAAGATTTCAATGTATGCATCAAAAGATTTTATACAAGTCTGGATCATGTAAAACAGAGCAAAGAGAAAAGGAGTGACACCAGATGTGAACATAGTGCACTGTTCTTTTCTTACCTTCAATGAAAACAGATGAGCAGGGGGTGAGCAAAGTGGCAAGTGTGTTCAGCTCCTGGGACACATTTTCAGTTTCTTCATAATCCTCAGTTACAGGGAGATAGAGGTGACAGGACTCTGCTTTTCCACCTCCATGGATGGCTTTTGTTCATTCATGCCAGGTATTTCTCAAGAGTGGAGATACTGAACCTAGAGAGAAGCAGCAGGAACAGAGAGAGTAAGAAGAAAAATGATGGATGTAGAGACATGGAAAGAATGACTGGCAGACATGGAGGGAGCAATAGGAAAGAAAAGAGAGAAGAGAGGAGGAGAGTCAAAGAAAAAATAATAAAGTTACAACAAAAGTGAGAGTGAAAATTAGAAATAAATGGCAAAATTACAGGGAAAGTTCTATAGAGGAATGAAAGAAGACAGGTGCGGATGGGGGGAGAGAGACAGAGACAGAGAGAAAGACAGAGAGAGAGACAGAGACAGAAAGACAGAGAGAGAGACAGAGAGAGAGACAGAGACAGAAACAGAGACAGAGAGACAGACAGATACAGAGACAGAAACAGAGACAGAGAGACAGAGAGACAGAGACAAAGACAGAAAGACAAAGAGCAGACCATACCTACCTGGTGTCCTTGGGCTCAGAGCCATGCTCCTCATCACCCTAAGCCTGGAGAGAGATAGATATGAAGAAGGCAGTGACAATCAAGTAAAAAAGTGATCACGACTTTTAAACTTCCACAGTGAAATGATTGGCCAAGCTGAACGACCTCTGCCCCAGGCCATAAGTTTTAGCTAACTAGGGGTGAGATTCAGTACAGGAAGTACTATCCCTGGGTCGGTCTCTTCACTCCCTGGTCAGAATTCTGGCCCCAAGAATGCATAGCTGCACTGCTTTGGTCATACCATTTAATACATAAATCATCCATCTATAAAATGGGGAATAATAACAGAACCACATATTCCTTACCATGTTTTGTGTAATTAAGTTAAAATAAACCAGGAATAGCTAAGAATACAGCATGGCACATAGTACTTGCTGATGAATGTCAGAGTTTATTGCTATTCTTTTCTTTTATCACTGAGCTTTAGCAGTCACACAGAGACAGGGCAGAAGTCAAATGCTCCCCAGAACCCTGGATCTGTGTCCCATGAAGATCTGCCTTTTCTCCCAGGAAGCCTGGTGGACCCCGTATTGCTCTTTCATTCTGTCACTGCCAACATCATCTGCTCCATCGTCTTTGGAGAACGTTTTGACTACAAAGATCCCCAGTTCCTTCGGATGCTGGACCTGATGTATAAGTCCTTTACGCTCGCTAGCTCCTTTTCCAGCCAGGTCAGGGGGAATGTCAGAGGATTTGCATCGGGGGGGGGGGCATTCAAGTCATGGGTATTGATGCTATGGTTTTGGGATCCAAGAAATACACTTAATTCAGGGAGAAGGGTTCAGAGCTTAATGGGGACACTGAGACCTGAAATGAGGGAGAGAGGATGAGCAGGGACCAAGGGGCTAAGAAAACAAAGGGGCATGAAGAGCATGGAGAATTAAAGTGCAAAATCAAAGCAAAGGAAAGCTTTGGAAATAACATAAGAAGGGAGAGAAGACTGAAAAAGGGAAAATAAATAGCAGAGATAGATCCTGGGACACAAAATTTGTGTGTGTGCATGTGTGTGTGTACATGTATATGTGGTTATGAAAGAGGAAGAGAGAGGCAGATTTACAGTAGAGACAGAAGGAGGAACAGAGATTCCCCAGGAGGATAGGGGCCCAGGACAGCTCCCTCCCTCTATGTTCTACTAGACGAGCACTATGTGGACCTAACTGCTCCATCTTTCTTGAAGGTGTTTGAACTCTTCTCCAGCATCCTGAAACACTTTCCTGGCACACACAGGGAAATCTACAAAAACCTGCAGGAAATCAACACCTTCATTGACCAGAGTGTGAAAAAACACCATGAAACCCTTGACCCCAGCTCCCCCAGGGACTTCATTGATGCCTTCCTGATCCGTATGGACAAAGTGAGATCAGGCAGAGGGGAAGGGATACAAGGGGAGGATCAGGGGTGGATTGAAGCAAAAACAGAGGTGGAACAGGGAAAGAAGAAGAGGACAGAGGAGAGAGAATAGGGAAAAGGGAAGTCAGGAGAAGCAGAAGAAAAAACATTAAGCAGAGGCAAGGGTTAGGAAGGAAAAACTGAAGTGGGAGGAAAAAGACAAGAAGCAAGAAATAATTGAGGAAGAAAATTAAAGAACAAAAAATTCAATAAAATGAAAGCACTGCAGAGGAAGAAAGAAAATGGGAAAACAAAGTGAGAAACAAGCCAAACACATGAAGACAGATTAAAACAGCCTGATAGAATAAAAAGGAGAGAGAGAGAGAGAGAGAGAGAGAGAGAGAGAGAGAGAGAGAGAGAGAAGAGAGAGAGAGAGGGATTGAGAGAGAGAGTCAGAGGGAGAGAAG